AAAAAATTTTACTCGTCATAAAACGATAAATAGTTTGTCAAATTTTTATTCATAAAAATGCAGTTTCAACTGCTTTTTATTTTATAAAATCCGTCTTCTTGCGCCACCAGAGGGCCTTTTAAACAATAGGTAGTCTGTTAGCGTTGATCAGTAGTAGTCCAAATTCAATACGAACGTTTGTTTCTTAAAAATTTGATCACGATTTCAATACAGTATTTACTTTTAATATTACCGATATGTCATCGAAAAGAAAACGTGTTGTATTATCATTAAAAGACAAGTATTTGTTTCAATTATCCGGATTTTTCCTTATCCAAACTACCTTCATCCCCAATTAGTCCGGATAATCGAGGTTCTACTGTATTTTATTTAGAAAGTATATTTTTAAATTTAAAATGGATGGGAATTTATCTGAATGGAAAATATATAAGGAAAATATAAACATAATTCTACTGTAGTAGAATTTTTTATCAGATATTATGAACTACAAAATATGAACTAAAACTTAAAAAAGTCTTATATTTGATTATTATGTTTATTAAGAACATTAAAAAATTGCTCATATATGATGTGGCATCAAAAAGTTTCCAAACTGGCTGTATAAAAAGTGACAAACTAACCTGAAATTTTAGTGGCCACTATCCCCCTCAAAGTAACCAGTCCCATTGGGAGTTGATGCAATGGTCCCAGCAATTCTGTCATTGTTGGAACACCTGAAAGTCCTGTTTCTTCATGCTTTTCAGCACAATCCTTGTCTCTTCTGGAATCCCCTCAAATGTAACAAATCTTTGCCCTTTCAGGGTTTGTCTTCATTCTAAGAAAGCTGAAAAAGTCACAGATGGCCAAATCAGGGAAATAGGAAGAGTGAAGAATGGCACCTATGTTATTTTGGATCAAACACTGCTGCATTTTGATGGATGAGTAGGCTGTAGCACTATCATGATAGATCATTCAGTTCCAAGTGGTCCATAACTCTGGATGCTTGAGTCTTATATGATCCTGAAGATGCTTCGGCAGGCAATGTATTAGTCTGCATTGATTGATTATATTTGTGAAATGAATTCCCGCAAAAGAATTATTTTGTAGTCAACAAAAAATAAATACAGTAAAAGCTTGATATAAGGAACCAAAGAAATTGGTCCATTATAATGAAAGTTCATTTTATCATGATTACTCATTATTATGGACTCATCTGTTATATTAAAAAGTCAACTACTATGTGAGTAGAATGAAATTAGAACAAATTTCAATAAAAAACCCGAAGAAACTATCTGCAGTTCTCAGATATTTTCTCCAGGTCCAAATGTCAAATCAATGTGTTTTTACTGCATTCCAGAAGATCTGTTACTGTGAATATAAGGGAATTCTACTATATATAATATCAGCTTCTCCATTACTGTATATCAAAATTGTGGACAAAATTTTACTTGTAAATTATATATGCCAAATTTTTTTTTTATTAAACTTGTAAAAACAATACTTTTATTCATTATTATTATTTTATTCAAATATGAATTGTTTTAAGAAAAGACTTGTAATTTTTCTCTTGGTTTCCAAATGTCAGAAATTGCTTACTCAGACATTTCTTAACCAACTTCAGCTTGAGATTTTCCATCTTCAATCTGATGAACTAGATCTGTTTTCTGTGTTAAATCTAAAGCTTTTCATTTTCTTTTATGATCCATGGCTTTGCTTTATGCAACAAATTCAAGAATGGTCACTCATAGAGAAAATGAAACCAAAACTGAACGAAAGTAGTCAATCAGAAAACAAAACATAATGTGAAAATCTACACACACACACACAAAAAAGTTTTTAAAGTGAATTTTATATTATTTTTGTATTTATTTTTTTGCAAATAAAGTGCAGTCGAGTCTGCATAAGTTGACACCCCAAGGAGAAGTGGAAATGTGTTGTGTTATCTAACATGACAACTAAAATAAAGTTGAAAAAAACCACAAAACTACAATTAATACAGTAAAATACAGTAGTGCTTTATACAGTACATGCAAGTATCTCTCTGACCATCCATCACTGGACTAAAGTTGGTTTCTATTCCAAGTACCTCAGCGATTTTCATTGCTTTTTGTTTCAGTATTGGCCCCAAAACAGGAAGATTTGATGGACAAATTTGCTTTAACCAACGTACTAGAGCATCTTTGACATCTTTGTATGGCGACTTTCTCTGGCATTTTCAAGACAGCTGCAATGAAGACCCAAGAAAAAATTTCTTAATTTTTTTTTTGGTTTTCTTCAGAATTCTCACCAATGTTGTTCTTGGAAGGTTTTCTTGTTTTACAAATTCAGATACAAGTTTGTATTTTTCCTTCAGTGTAAGCGTTGTTAGGTTTTGGATACTCATTTCTAACAGAAATGTTAAACACTTGCTGCAAATAATGCATGAATGAAAGATGAAAAAAATGCAAAATCAGATTCTGTTGTGACATTAAGCTGTGTGGTGTGAACTCATTTTTTCAGGAGGGAAGTCGATTTATCAGACATCTAAATGAGTGTGGGACAGAAAAAGTATGTCAATTTATCCAGCAGTGATGAGTTAAACGGTCGAATAAACCAGAGTTTTTTTTAACATTAATGCCTATGTAAGTAAGCAGGGACCACAGAAAACTGACTACTTAACTGACCGTGTCTAATTATACCTATGATAACTAGAGTTTCTCAAATGGGATCCTGGTTGTTTTTTTAACCCAGGAAAATTTTCTCATCCCGAGAAATCCTGCAAATTTCTTAAAAGTTCACTTTTTTCTTATTTTGTGTTAAGGTTGAGGAAATTTTGGAAATAGAAAGTATAATTAACTCATTCACTGTCAGAATACATTTGTATTTATTAATTTTAAACCTACCTATTAGTTTTTTAAATTTTTGCTAGTTATGGCATATCACAAATGGTCAATAATTGACACACAGCTTATTTGTGGCAGGACTCTGAAAATTCTTTACTTGTCAGAACCTATAATATCTGGAATAATTGCATTTATGCTGTCTTAATTTTTAACCATGCCCAGTAGCTTCAATAACTGAGTAACTCCAGTTGTGCAAATTGGGCAAGGATACAAACGAGTATGAAGTCTGCAAGTATGAAGTTTTTCTTCATAAACCTGATTATTACAATCTCGAAAACAAACTAGAAATCTTCCAGGCTATGGGTGAAAAAACACATAACATCTGTCTTCTCTTAAATGAATTAAACATGATTCCACTCACATCAATTTAATCAGAAAGAGCATTCTCAGTAGCTGGACTTTCCATTACTAAAATAAGAACCAGATTGAGTGATCGGAGTATTGACCATCTTTGCTTTTTAAAATCTTAACGTAAAATATTATTGTAAATTTTTATATTTTTATTTAAAAAATGAAAATTACTTTCTAACTTAGAAGTTTGATCTAAGTTCATTTTTTCCTTTAAATTTCCAACTCAATTTAAAGGCATTTTTGTTGATAGCATTTAATAAATTTTTTCTATTTGTGAAAATTTCTACGTTATTTAAAGGTAATTTTTAATATATATCTTACACAGCATTATTAATATGATTTTGGAGGTTGCAGAATGTATTAAATTACTTTAAAAAAATGAAAAATAATTATATCATTTGATTTTAAGATATTTTGTATACCTTAAAAATAATTAATTCTATTCCGGGATTTCCCGGGATCCTGGGAAACAGTTCACTTTTATCCCAGAATCCCGGGACAAGCAAAAGGCCAGGAAATGAGAAACCCTAATGATTTATGCGGGGCTCGACTAAATAAAACAACCAATTATTTTATTGTGACATTGTCACAATGCCAGGTTGCAATTTTTAATCATATTTTTAAATTTATTTAATTTAAAATATATGCTTTTTACCTTCAAATTAGCAGTGGCTTGATCCTGTAGATCATACTTTTCCTTCAACAATGGAATTGTGCTGGTCATCTATCTAACTCCTTTCAGGGGAAAAGTTTTGAATTGAAATAACAAAACTTCCAGTTTGTGTCAGAAGTTCATATATAGTTAATCGGGGTCTCCTGCCACTAAGGTTTCCATATCTGGCCTTGTCTCTCATATATCTATCTCCGTTCTCAAGATTAAGGAAAGACGGACAACAATGGGAATTTATAGGTCTACTTGTTTCAAATTGCAGCTCAATGATGACTATGATGAAAGAAGACAGTGACTAAAAAGTCTGTAATAATGGAAGGACAGTGGTCTGTGGACCTGAAAAATAGTCTCCATATTAGCAGGAGTTTATTATAAAGGAATCTGTTACAGTGAACAAGTTTTATAATTTTCCTTTACTTTGGCCAGACCAACATCAGCCATCTGCAATATCAAGCTTTTACTGCATTAACATCACATTGCTTCTGACTTGCTACATTTTCTTGGGAAGGGAGATGATGGGCTTTTCCATTGTGAGGTTCTGAGTCATAAACCCAGTTTGCACCCACCAGTAATTATATGTTTCAGAAAGTCATTGTCAGCAGTCATAGTAGCACAGAATTAATAAGCAAACTTTCTTGATATTTTTGAGAGTTACACTTGTCAAAAGGCATCCTGTATGTTCATTGTCTTCAAACATTTCTTGGCAGTATTTGAAACATCCAAGCCATTCATAAATTTGTATTTTGCCTAAAACAGTCACTAAATGCTTGCAGAAGCAATTTTTTTGTTTCTTCCAATTTTGACACAGAATTTGATTCATAAATGTTGTTCAAGTTTCTCATTCATTCTTGGTGGCAAGAAAGTCATGCAATACATAGTAAACAAAGAAACACCATGGAATCATGTTCACTTGATACACTGTTGTACTGTGTTCTATTCCAGTATATGTTGCCAGTTCAGAAATGTTTTGACACTACCTTGTATAACATATTGGAATTAAACAATGAATTTACACGTTAATATATAAAAACATTTGGTATCAAAATTTTTTAAATCATATTTAATATTTTCAAAAAAGTCATTTTCAAAATGTTCACAAATATTGTCAAAACAAACATGCCTTAAGAACAGAACAAAAAAAAAAAAAAATATTTAGAATTAAAATAGCTTCTCAATAAATCTTCATAGTAACAGTTTAACTAAAGTTTAATTTTGATATATAACAATAGAGAAATCTCACTCTATGTTATCAAAAGTCTAACAGTTTAAAACATCAACAAAATTAAATTTCAGATTAAAACCGACCCTTAAGATTGACTTCCATCGCTAACTTATTGATATCGATATTTATAGCATTTATCAATAGAAGATTGATATTTTTCATTTATTAATTTTACAACTTTCCACAATCAATAAAATTACTTGACATATTATAATTTATTTATTTAACTACAATTAAAGATATAATGTTAAAAATTTATACAATTTACAAATATTAATTAAAATATTTTTGTTAAATATACTTGAAAAATAAAATAATTCTTAAGTCCCTTAATTAAATTTAACCATTCTTTAAAATCAGTATTATAAAATCGACCATCTAGCAATAGATTTATTAATAATTCCCTTTAAATTGAGAATAATTATAATAATAATAATAATTCATTTAAAACATTATCCAGTATTACATTTATGCTAAATATAAATAAAAGATCATAATGTAATATTTAATTTTTACAGAGTATAATATAAAATCTATCAAAATTTATGAAAAAAATATGTATGTATGTATATATATTAAATACGAAGCAAATATGGAAAAAGACAGAGTTATGTAACGCGTTATTCAAATCTTAATTATAAACAAACTGAATAATTTCGATTGGTCTTGATCAATCAAGGAAAATCGTGTAGATAAATATGATTTTCTAATCGAATATTTGACAAAGAAAGTAATGATAGAAAAATGAGTTCGTTGTCCTAAAAGCAACCGTCGATGACGCATACGGGACGCTTTTCAGTACAATTATTGATTTTCAAGTCGATATTTGTTCCTCTTCCTGAGATCTCTGCAAATCATAAAAACATCAAAAAGATGGAACTTGACAGATCAAACGAAAGCGATAATCCTGCCAAAATCGATCGTAACAAACATCATAACAACACAACGAAACTAATCTACTTTCGACGTATCCGATTCTGTACCCTTCACTAACCAACTATATCCCGTCTCACCTCTTCAATCGATCGACCGATTCCCAGTTTACTTTCAACGTTTCCGTTGATGCCGCCATCTTCTCTTTCTCTTTAATCTGACTTTTATCAACGCGCATGCTCACTTCCTTAACGTAGTCGGTTCTGCGCATGCTTGGCGGTTTATTCGAAAATCAAAAGTTCGAAGGATTTTCTTCTTATTAGTTGAGTTCGTTGCGACGATTTTTAAAATATTTTATTTAGGGAGTAAGTTTTTAAATTTAAAATGGAGGAGAATTTGTCCGAATGGGAAATGTGTAAAGAAAATATTCGGCCTTTGAAACAAGGAAGGAAGATTGATTCGTTGAAATCTGCATTATGTCCGACAGACGATTACAAAAAGTCAAAAAGACAGTTGAGTTCTTTTTATTTTATTTTCTGCATTTTATTTAAAATTGATACGAATTTTATCAATAAACATTCAAATATTAATTAATACGAATTATATTTATCAATTATGATATGTAACTACTTTTGTTTTTAATTCGAAAAATCAAGGAGATAGTATGGCCTGTTTTAAAATTTTTTATACAAAAGGCCTGTTTACTGAATGTGCATGCTGCATGTGTAATTCTGCCATTTCGTGATTTTTATTATTCATTTAAACTGCTACAAAAAATATAAAATAAATAAATTTTTAATTTTCTCCCTATTCTTAATTATATGATTTGGTATTGATAAAAGGGAGATACATTTGATTTAATTTTTTTCTACTGAAAAGTTTATATAGTAATAACATTAAAATATTAAATATATTATAACTACNAAGATATTTTGTATACCTTAAAAATAATTAATTCTATTCCGGGATTTCCCGGGATCCTGGGAAACAGTTCACTTTTATCCCAGAATCCCGGGACAAGCAAAAGGCCAGGAAATGAGAAACCCTAATGATTTATGCGGGGCTCGACTAAATAAAACAACCAATTATTTTATTGTGACATTGTCACAATGCCAGGTTGCAATTTTTAATCATATTTTTAAATTTATTTAATTTAAAATATATGCTTTTTACCTTCAAATTAGCAGTGGCTTGATCCTGTAGATCATACTTTTCCTTCAACAATGGAATTGTGCTGGTCATCTATCTAACTCCTTTCAGGGGAAAAGTTTTGAATTGAAATAACAAAACTTCCAGTTTGTGTCAGAAGTTCATATATAGTTAATCGGGGTCTCCTGCCACTAAGGTTTCCATATCTGGCCTTGTCTCTCATATATCTATCTCCGTTCTCAAGATTAAGGAAAGACGGACAACAATGGGAATTTATAGGTCTACTTGTTTCAAATTGCAGCTCAATGATGACTATGATGAAAGAAGACAGTGACTAAAAAGTCTGTAATAATGGAAGGACAGTGGTCTGTGGACCTGAAAAATAGTCTCCATATTAGCAGGAGTTTATTATAAAGGAATCTGTTACAGTGAACAAGTTTTATAATTTTCCTTTACTTTGGCCAGACCAACATCAGCCATCTGCAATATCAAGCTTTTACTGCATTAACATCACATTGCTTCTGACTTGCTACATTTTCTTGGGAAGGGAGATGATGGGCTTTTCCATTGTGAGGTTCTGAGTCATAAACCCAGTTTGCACCCACCAGTAATTATATGTTTCAGAAAGTCATTGTCAGCAGTCATAGTAGCACAGAATTAATAAGCAAACTTTCTTGATATTTTTGAGAGTTACACTTGTCAAAAGGCATCCTGTATGTTCATTGTCTTCAAACATTTCTTGGCAGTATTTGAAACATCCAAGCCATTCATAAATTTGTATTTTGCCTAAAACAGTCACTAAATGCTTGCAGAAGCAATTTTTTTGTTTCTTCCAATTTTGACACAGAATTTGATTCATAAATGTTGTTCAAGTTTCTCATTCATTCTTGGTGGCAAGAAAGTCATGCAATACATAGTAAACAAAGAAACACCATGGAATCATGTTCACTTGATACACTGTTGTACTGTGTTCTATTCCAGTATATGTTGCCAGTTCAGAAATGTTTTGACACTACCTTGTATAACATATTGGAATTAAACAATGAATTTACACGTTAATATATAAAAACATTTGGTATCAAAATTTTTTAAATCATATTTAATATTTTCAAAAAAGTCATTTTCAAAATGTTCACAAATATTGTCAAAACAAACATGCCTTAAGAACAGAACAAAAAAAAAAAAAAATATTTAGAATTAAAATAGCTTCTCAATAAATCTTCATAGTAACAGTTTAACTAAAGTTTAATTTTGATATATAACAATAGAGAAATCTCACTCTATGTTATCAAAAGTCTAACAGTTTAAAACATCAACAAAATTAAATTTCAGATTAAAACCGACCCTTAAGATTGACTTCCATCGCTAACTTATTGATATCGATATTTATAGCATTTATCAATAGAAGATTGATATTTTTCATTTATTAATTTTACAACTTTCCACAATCAATAAAATTACTTGACATATTATAATTTATTTATTTAACTACAATTAAAGATATAATGTTAAAAATTTATACAATTTACAAATATTAATTAAAATATTTTTGTTAAATATACTTGAAAAATAAAATAATTCTTAAGTCCCTTAATTAAATTTAACCATTCTTTAAAATCAGTATTATAAAATCGACCATCTAGCAATAGATTTATTAATAATTCCCTTTAAATTGAGAATAATTATAATAATAATAATAATTCATTTAAAACATTATCCAGTATTACATTTATGCTAAATATAAATAAAAGATCATAATGTAATATTTAATTTTTACAGAGTATAATATAAAATCTATCAAAATTTATGAAAAAAATATGTATGTATGTATATATATTAAATACGAAGCAAATATGGAAAAAGACAGAGTTATGTAACGCGTTATTCAAATCTTAATTATAAACAAACTGAATAATTTCGATTGGTCTTGATCAATCAAGGAAAATCGTGTAGATAAATATGATTTTCTAATCGAATATTTGACAAAGAAAGTAATGATAGAAAAATGAGTTCGTTGTCCTAAAAGCAACCGTCGATGACGCATACGGGACGCTTTTCAGTACAATTATTGATTTTCAAGTCGATATTTGTTCCTCTTCCTGAGATCTCTGCAAATCATAAAAACATCAAAAAGATGGAACTTGACAGATCAAACGAAAGCGATAATCCTGCCAAAATCGATCGTAACAAACATCATAACAACACAACGAAACTAATCTACTTTCGACGTATCCGATTCTGTACCCTTCACTAACCAACTATATCCCGTCTCACCTCTTCAATCGATCGACCGATTCCCAGTTTACTTTCAACGTTTCCGTTGATGCCGCCATCTTCTCTTTCTCTTTAATCTGACTTTTATCAACGCGCATGCTCACTTCCTTAACGTAGTCGGTTCTGCGCATGCTTGGCGGTTTATTCGAAAATCAAAAGTTCGAAGGATTTTCTTCTTATTAGTTGAGTTCGTTGCGACGATTTTTAAAATATTTTATTTAGGGAGTAAGTTTTTAAATTTAAAATGGAGGAGAATTTGTCCGAATGGGAAATGTGTAAAGAAAATATTCGGCCTTTGAAACAAGGAAGGAAGATTGATTCGTTGAAATCTGCATTATGTCCGACAGACGATTACAAAAAGTCAAAAAGACAGTTGAGTTCTTTTTATTTTATTTTCTGCATTTTATTTAAAATTGATACGAATTTTATCAATAAACATTCAAATATTAATTAATACGAATTATATTTATCAATTATGATATGTAACTACTTTTGTTTTTAATTCGAAAAATCAAGGAGATAGTATGGCCTGTTTTAAAATTTTTTATACAAAAGGCCTGTTTACTGAATGTGCATGCTGCATGTGTAATTCTGCCATTTCGTGATTTTTATTATTCATTTAAACTGCTACAAAAAATATAAAATAAATAAATTTTTAATTTTCTCCCTATTCTTAATTATATGATTTGGTATTGATAAAAGGGAGATACATTTGATTTAATTTTTTTCTACTGAAAAGTTTATATAGTAATAACATTAAAATATTAAATATATTATAACTACAGTGACCATATTTTTTTGGGGAAAATAAAGGACATATCGATGAAAATCAAAAATTAACCTTATAAAATTCATAAGTTTATAACATTTATTACGAAAATAGTAGCATACAACAATGCATACATTAAAATTTTAAACAATCTGAATTATTACACATACACACATTGTAAAAATTTAAACAACATTAATTTTGATATTTTTCAGTAGAATTAATTTTTTTATATAGCACCGTTTTACGCTTTAAAGTCATAAAATTTCATACAGTTCATTTGAAAGTTGTATTTGATGGAAATACATGCTTCTAATGTGCTTACTTTTAAATCAGTTTTTTTCATTTGTTCACATATTATTCACCAATGAAAATATTCGTTCAACGGGGGCATTAGATCCAGGGAGACAAAGAAAATTCTACGATTTTACAAATGTTTTTGAAAACAATTTCTTTTGCTGTAAAATGTTCAAAAATCTCAATCCACCTTTGATGGCAGGGCTGGTTATTCTGTCACCATTCGTCGATCTTTTCGTTTGTGACATATTTTTTTACACATGAAACTTCATCAAATAATTCACCGTCGAGTATATTTACGGACCAATGATTCGAAATAAAGATATAGCTTTCCTCTACTTTCGCCCACAAAGGGATTTCGCATAATGTGACCCATTCAAACACCTCTATTTCAATAAAAAACATGTCCCAATTATTTAGATAATCTATGCACGTTTGATAAAATGTGTACACAGCATCATTGAATTTTTTGGCTTGTATATTTTCTGATTTTTCTAATGCTAAAACCACTTTTCTAATAACAATAGGAAGAAACCCCTCATTTTTTCTTTCAACTAACTTCAGCTTTAATTAACAAGTGTATCATCCATCAACTAGAGAGTTAAAAAACTATCACAAAAATCCCCATAAGAGTGTCCACCCCCTGGTACTGTCAGTGGGCCGTTTGGTTGGCGACACACTGCACTACTGCGCTCTATGTAGCAATGCAACACTGGTCGTGATGGCGTATACAAAACTAACTTGTTCAATATATTATTAAAAAAATTTTTTTTAAACTTTGTGTCAACTTTACAAAATAAAGGACAAAATGCCTATTTTAGAAAATAAATAAAGTTAAAGGACAGAGCAGTGAAATAAAGGACTGTCCTCTTAAATAAAGGACGTATGGTCACTGTAATTATAACCTAAATTACTTTATTGTTACTCAAAAATTCAAAACTGAAGGTATAAAACTTGACTTGTATTAATAAATACATTATTAATTAATACCCAGCTAGATGCTTCTTAATTTCCACAACACACTGAGGATATTTTGTTGTTTAGATTAAAATTGCTCATTATTCCAAAGATTTTTATATTTTAAATATGTTCTAAACCAGGGTGGTTCAACCTTTTTTCCTAAAGGGTTCCACACATGTTAAGAAAATCCTTTGAGGAATAATTGCGCAGGCCTGGCCTTGAGGAATTCTGTTAGTGTGTGGGGGAAAAACTATACAGTTTCGGGGGCCTAAACAGCCTAAGAAGAGGAGGTAGGCTAGATTGGAGAAGAAAACAATAAAGCTTGAGCTTCAAAACTGAGTGGAACAAGATCAAGATCATAGTCACTGAAGGTTAATGGAAATTGAGTCAATTCTCACCAAAAGGCAGAGATTAGAACTTTTCCCATTGGGAAAAGAGGAAAAAGAATGATTAATGGTACAGTCAACAGGATCAGCAAAACATCATTTCAGCTTAATGGGCAGCAATGATGTGCACCAGATCTGCAAATCAAGAATAACAGTGACATGTAATATACATAGTTATGAATGCATTGACCACAGGAGCAATAATCTTGCCTCACCTGGAAAACTTTATGGCCCTCAAAGCCAATCTGACTGATTTTGGAACCAATACTGCTAAAGTACTAGGTGTAGAATTGGTGAGGATGACCCCAGATGAGAAATTGGATGATTATTGAAGGCTTAGAGCAGGGGTCGCAAACTGGTGGGCTGGATACAGCATGTTAAGGCTTCATATTCTGTTCACAGCCTTGATGATTTCTTCTAAAAATCAATGTTTCTAACATCTTGCAGGTATTAAAACACAAAAAATTCAAACTTCAAACTGTTTATGTAAGTCTTATTAAAGGTCTAGTAACAAAAGGGCCTTTGTTAGAGCTTGTTTTTTTTTTTCAAAGTTTACAGTATGTTTTGGTTTACAAAATAATAATGAATATGACCCATCTGATATACAATTATTTGACTGGCTTTTTGCTTTGTTTGAGTTTGTAATCCCAGGTTTATAGGAAAAGATATGATTCATTTCTCAAACAAGCATGGAACAACAAGAAGGGAGGAATGAGTTCTGTTTGTGAAGAGGATTAATGGCTAGACAAGATTAGCTTTGTCGTTTAGAAATGATCTTTACCACATTACATAAATATGTGATGACAATGAGTCTGGATAAGTGTCAATATGCTAAGGATGTGGTTTGATATTTAGAGTTGCCTGATTGAGACCAGCATACATTTTCCTGATCCCAACAGAATTAAGACAATCCAGCAAATGTCACTGCTGAAAACTAAAAAATTTTTGGGATTAAGTGGGTATTATGGAAAGTATTTCCACAATATGCTTAGGTCCACATCTAAGCATATTGTGTAATCTCTGAGCTGATCTCTCATAAGGCCACTGCTGAGGTACCTTGGATGGACAGAACATAGTCTACCTCTGATCATCTCAAACAGTTGCTAGGGAATGCTTTACTCCTTTGGACTCTGGAACCAGATCTACCTTTCTTCCTTTGCACAGATACCTCAAAAGTGGCCATTGGGACCTATTTGGCCCTGATTAACTGCAAGGGAGAGAGAAGGCTGACCACTTTCTTAAATTCAAGGTAGCTGAACTAACTTGGGCCATAATTGAGGAGGTAGCCCATGCTATTATTTGGGCTTTGACAAAATTTGAGTTGTGGATATTGAGGAGTTACTGTGATACTGATCATTATCTACTGCAGGGATTTCCAAACTTGTGTTCTGTGGAACCCTAAGGTTCTGCCAATAAAATTTGGGGTTGCACAATAAAATCCATTGAGTTTAGTGATGTATGAATGTTCCAATGTATATTTGGGATGGTAGTCTCAGATCGAGTTCTCTTATAACATCCTGTACACCTGCTATAGTTATAACTATATAAACAGTGGGGACTGATTTATTGGTAACGGAATGAACTAAAATCATGATATAATGTCTGACAAGATAATGAAAACCATAAAAACAGTAAAATTTAACCTAAAGCTAGAAAATCACTTAAAAAATAACTTTAAAATGGCCCAACATATAAATAGTAATACAAATGACAAATTAAAGCATATTTAAAAATGTTAAATATGCTTTAATTTGTCATTATCTGCAACTCAAGCCTATTGAATCTAATGATGAGAGTGGTCAATCAGATGCCCAATTATGGCATGAATATGGTCCATCTGATATGACTAGTGACAAGACACTCATGTCAGACAAGCCCTATTAGTCCAACAGAATCTATTGGGTCAAAATTTCCATGCAAAACCAATAGGCTCTATTCAACCAATATTTTAAGTTATTGTGAAATACTTTGTATATATATTCAGATAAATATATTCTATTTTCTTTGCATTTTATCACATTTTAGTTGAAACTGTAGTGCATTCAACTAATCTAAGTTCTGCTTAGTTTGAACTAGGGTTTCTCATTTCCCGGGAAATTTGCCTCCAGCGGAATTACGGGAAAAATAAGTTCTTTTTCTGGGATCCTGGGAAATTCCGGGATGAGATAGTAAAATAGAATTTTATATTACTGTATGGTCTTTTTTGATCATACAGGTGTGATGTTTCGTTTGAGGGCAATATATTATTGCAGACAGGAAACATATAAAACGAGTAAAAATACAAAATTTTTTTTATTCATCAAACACAGGTTCTTTAAAATGATTCCAACTTACAGACTATTGGGTTCGTATACATACAATAATCGTCTACACAAACAAGCCTCTATTGTGGCAACCGACACATGACTTATAGCTAAACTTAACCTACTTACAAACTAAGGAAGGAGAAATAAAATATAGATAGGGATAGTAGTAGAATAAAGGAGAAAATACCCGGGAGTTTTCTGCCACGTGGTCTCGGATGATTCACCGTCTTGAAATTCTTAATGACTGCAGACCTTATTTTCTTTCCTCTTATGAACGTCTACGTTTTCTGAAGTTGTCTTGTGGTCTTCCCGCTTGCCGTTACTTGAACATGGGGGAACTCGATTTCTTTAGCAATTGCCCTACGTTCCTCTATAATTCAGCCGTCTTACAAGGTTCCGATACCTCTGATCTCTCACTATGCGATCAGGGTATGATCCTCCTTCGGTTTTCTATCGCAAGGTTTCTTACTTCTTGCTCGACCCCTCGGTCAGGACCACACTCGTTTTCGTCCTCTCTCGACGAAATCGCA